GTTTAGTTACATAACTGTGACTTAGTTTCATTGAATTACTGAAATACTCACATGAAGGAAGCTTCAGTTTGAGTGAATAAATGGTCAATATAGATCTAGTCACATTGAATGTTATTTTCATCATGGTCTAAATTTAGCAAAGAGAAACACTGAAAATGAAGAAGCAGTGAACAGATAATGTAAGCACTTACGAGCTCACGCAGATCACAACATTTGAGGTCTAACTATCGACATTATAACATTCAATCTATGGGAAGAAATTCAATGGTCCAAACTTCACATTATTAATCATCTCGTAATAAACCATGATTGGAGATGTCATACAGGGTTATAGGTACTTAGTATATGAGTCAGTCAGTCAGCTACAACGTAGAACCAGGCACATTTATGCATCGGTCCAAGTTGCCATACCTCGTTAGCACAACAAGATGAACACCGGATTCATGGAAGTAGTTAATTTAGTGGTGGTAGTATATAAAAGATAGGTTGTATATAAGGATATAGTATAGGAAGGAAGACTGATATGAAGCAATTTTAATCTCAAGGGAAGATAAAGAGTGTATACACCTACGCCATTGTGATCGATTCTGAGCCATGTCACCTAGAGTCTCCAACATTGGTCACGATAGTCACGCGGACCCCAACCAAGTAGTCTGCATCTGCCAACATGGCTCAGACTAGAAGTTAGTGACTTCAAACACTGATGCCACGTTTTGGCTTGGCCGCTCCTAACTCTCTTCCAAACATCCCCTACACTAGTCAGCATAGCGCGTCGTGGTAATCGGTGTTCAGGCATACGTAACACGTGGCCCAACCATCTCAGTCGATGAAGATTCATCACCTCATCAACTGATTTACCATCATTCCCTAATACTTTGTGTCTAACCTCACTATTACTTACCCGGTTATCCTAGCAGATGCGAGCAATATTTCTAAGGCATCTGTGGTCAAATACTAGTAACCTACGAGTATCTTCCACTCTTAATGGCCACTTTTCTCAGCCTTAAAATAAAACAAAACGAACTGCTGTGCAACATACTCATCCCTTAGCTGATAGACGGATATCTTGCCTTCACCATAGGTGACGTAAGTTGGCAAAAGCCAAACGAGATTTTTCAATCCGTCCTGAGATCTCGTCAGACACCAACCCATTAGGGCTGATCAGACTTCCAAGACAAGTGAAGTTGTCGATGTGTTTGATTACTTCACTCCCTATCCTTAGTTCGAGTGTTGACGCAGGCCAGTCCTGGAGTAACAATTTACATTTGGATGGGGAGAAACGCATCCCAAACATCCTGGCATTATTACTTAGTTCTAACAGAAGACTGCATTTTGTCAGCGTCTTCACCAAACAAGACTATGTCATCTGCGTATTCTAAGTCGATAATTGGACCTCCTGGTAGAAGGTCAATTCCTGAAAATTCAGTCGAAGAAAGTGTTATTTCCAGCAACAGGTCTATAATGAAGTTAAACAAAAATGGGGATAGTGGACAGCCTTGACGGATACCACTTGAGGTTGTAAAATTATATGACAGTTCGCCATAAGCTCTCACTCGACTGGTAGTGTTCGAGTAAAGAGCCTTCAAAAGGTTTATGTACTTCTCAGGTACACCTTTCAATGACAGACACTGCCACAGAACCTCTCGGTCTACAGAGTCAAATGCTGATTTCAAGTCAAGAAAAACTATCATTGTCGGACGCCGATAAGCGTGTCTGTGCTCTAAAACTTGACGAATGGTGAATATGTGGTCGATACAGCCACGACCAGGTCTGAAGCCAGCCTGATTTTCTCGTGTTTGCAGTTCACGAGTCTTAGTTAGGTGCCCGATAATTATTGAGGCTAGTATTTTAGATGGTATGTTAGTGAGACTAATCCCTCTATGGTTATCACAGGATGATTTTGACCCCTTCTTATATATTAGGACAATCAGAGATTGTGACCAGTCTGATGGGATTACGTCCGTCTCCCAGATTTTAGCCAGAATATTAGTCAACCTAATCGCTAAAATTGGACCACCATATTTAAAGACCTCCGGAGCCAATCCATCTGGACCAGCTGCTCTTCCTCGTTTCAGATTACTTATAGCCTTTTGAACTTCAAGTAGGGTCGTGGGGCCTACTTCAATGTTCCATTCAGGTCTTCTGGGAATAGTCGGTAGTTGTGCAGTAGCTGAAGGCCAGCTAAACTGCTCCTTAAAGTGTTTCGCCCATCGTTTCAAACGTTTGGGTTGAGAGCAGATAAGGGTTCCGTCTTTTTTCGAGATTGTCTCACTTACACTTGACTTAATAATTCCGGTTTCTTTTATTAGTCTGAACAGTTGCCTGGTGTTGCCTACAGCCGCTGCCTTTTCAATTTCTTTTGCATTTGTTGCCCACCACTGCTCACGATCGTTCCTTAGACTTTTAGTTAACCTAGGTCTAATTTGTTTACGCTCTTCATCGTGTTCAGAGCCTGATGGGATGAGTTTACGCAAATTCATCAGTGAAATAGACTTAGAAGAAATCCATTGGTTTTTTGGAACCCTATGGTTTAAATTACTAATAGATGTTACTGTTGTTTCCACAGTTGTTCGTATATCTTTCCAAGCAGCATCTGGGTCAGTCTCGTTTACAGAACTGCCTAGATGTGAACTCAGTTTCTGGAATTCGCACTTGGCTTTTTCGTCCTCCAGTTCAATCCTAATGGGTCTTCTTAGTGTAGTTTTCCTGCGTCCAGTGAGGTGCAGACAAGTGTGTGCTCGTATTAAAGCGTGATCAGAGTCTAAACAAGTATTCCAATACGAGCGACAATCTTCTATTGAGCCTCTCCAACGATGACTGATGACAATATGGTCTATTTGAGTCCATCGTTGGTTTGGTGCAGGTAGTTGCCATGTTAGACGATGTCTCTCCTTATGATTAAAATTAGTGCTTGCTAAAAATAAACGATTGTCTGAGCATAGTTGCAACAAACGATCACCATTATCGGTTCGTTCAGCCGGAATACTAAAACACCCACTTAAATGTCTTTCTGTTTGATTTAAGCTGCCTACCTGGGCATTAAAGTCACCCGCTACGACTACTATGTCTGAGCGCTTAGCTTTCTGAAGAAGTTCAGAGAGCTTTCTCTGATTTTTTCTGGTTAGCGTTTTTTTAGCGAGTTGATTTTCTACGGGATGGAGTCGCTAACCCCATGCCCAACCCTCCTCCTTTACCCGGGCTTGGGACCGGCAGTAACCCCCAGAGGAGCTACAGGCGGAGTTCTACTGTATGGGGCGGAGACGTGGAGAACTACGAAAGCCATTATCCAGAAGATACAAGTGTTCATCAACAGCTGTCTACGCAAAATACTTCGGATCCGATGGCCAGACACTATCAGCAATAAGTTACTGTGCGAGAGAACAAACCAGATTTTAGCGGAGGAAGAAATCAGGAAGAAGAGCTGGAAGTGGATTGGGCACACCTTGAGGAAATCAGCTAATTGCGTCACAAGACAAGCCCTCACATGGAATCCTGAAGGTCAAAGGAGAAGAGGAAGACCAAAGAACACATTACGCCGAGAAATAGAGACAGACATGAGAAGAATGAACAAGAACTGGATAGAACTAGAAAAGGAAGCCCAGGACAGAGTGGGTTGGAGAATGCTGGTCGGCGGCCTATGCTCCATTGGGAGTAACAGGCGTAAGTAAGTAAGTAAGTAAGTCAGAGAGCTTTCTGTAAAAGTCATCTTTCACTTCATCATGGCTGCAGTCAGTGGGAGCGTAGGCATAAACGACGAAAAGGCAACGACCTGTGTCCCTATCCTTCCGAGTTCTTACGGAGCCATTTAGCCGGACAGCACACAGGCGACTGTTAACGGGGATCCATTCTAATAGTGCCTGTTCTGCCCTTGTACTTAGTGCTATACCTACACCTGCAAGTCCGCGAGAAGTAGCCAATGGGTCGCCAGATACACGGAGGGTGTATTTCGTTGGCTGTCCATTTTGGCGAGATGAGGTTAAGTGAATGACCACACTAGGATCCTGTATGCGTGCTTCGGAGACACAGCATATATCAATGGTACGAGATTCTAGGGTTTTAGCCAAGGAGGCCTGTTGACCGATTTGACTTAGGGTACTTACGTTGAAGGCTCCAATGTGTAGTTTGGAGAGAGGTTTTAGTAGACCTGGGATAGCGTTTTGCGCACTAGAATCGTTGGCCATGGTGACACTTGAGGAGGAAACTGAAAGAGGAAGATTAGTGTTGAAAGTTGAGGTAGAAGGAATAGTGGGAAGTGAAGGAGATTGATTATGAATAGAGTGGTCTTGAGTGCTGTTAGAGGTATGAGGGCAGTTATCACTTCCCGGTCGCCCACACCGTGGAAGGGTTCTTCTAGGGGTACCTGAAAAGGAAATCGGGTTAGAAGTGATCTTAATGACCTGAGAGCGTGACCGCAGTGCCCAAGGGACAACTGCTTGAGGTCGGTCACACACGACCTTTTTGTGGGTAGTTTTTGTGTTAGCTCCGTTCTTCAAAGGACCTTACCGCCGGAGACGGATATCCGTGGGATAAGGTGAGGTGTGCATTTTTAGGGTCGACCTTTTCTAACCCCACCCCTCCTTGTGAGAAGGCAGCATCGCTGTCATGCTGGTTGTCTGAAGGAAACACCTTACTGCTTTCACACCTCTGTACAGTCAGCAGTACGACTTCGCCTTCGGACCTTGGGTTTGCTGCTTTTAGTCTTACCGCTCTTCAAACGACCTGCCTGGCATGGTAGGACCTTGAGGAACGATTGTTCCAGCCTGTATAGCTCGATTGATTCATCATGATAGGCAAGCCCGACCACCACGTCAAGGTAGCAGCAACAATCGGTCTTAGTATATGAAGATTTTAAACAAAAAAAACAAGGTAGCCGAAAATTATCCTTTGGTTTTCTATAGTTTTCCCAATTGAACCGTGGAAACAATTACTATTAGGTTACTGTAAATGGTCAGTCCAATCGATACAGATTTAATAACTATATTAGGAATAATTTAGCTTACTCATCTATAATATATCGCGTAGTACTGATGATACGCTTAGTAGATTTGCAATAACCATTTTCTCCATGATACATCATCGTCGCCCAGCAAGTAGCAATTAACGCGCCAGATCGACTTCCTGAAAGTATGAAAAAATATATATATACTCCATTAAGTAGGAATAATCTAACTTTCTTGGGAAAAATATAGAAAATATTAAGTTGAATAGAGTAAAATTAACATTCAAACTAAAGACGCCATGTTTTTATCATTTTTTAAATTTATTTAAACACATAAATATTGGTACAAGAAAGCATCAGATACATATGCGCCTCACAAATCTCATTTGATTTGTGTGAGGGCTGTGATACTGCCCAGGTGCCCAAACTGAAGCATGTGGTTTTCTTAGGGGGTCACACCCGGAGCCTTCGACCTAAAGATCTGATCCACAAGGCAGTGGAGCATGGTGAGGAGATGCAGTCCCATGGTAGCCGGTGACCAACGATTGATTTATACGCCATTTGACCCCTCAGAATACTGGAGCCCATGTGCACCATTGGTTTGGGATCAGGGTTTTCCAACTTCCCTAGGTGGACTCGTCGTGTTCACCAACCCGGTTAAAGTGCCGGACATTCGCTTTCGTCCTCTCAATTTCGTAAACAACACCGGTGCCACGAGAAGGCAGTGAGTAGGACTTCCCTGGCAGAAGCTATATACGCTTGGCCATGTGAGAGCATTTCAAAAGGGAGAGCGGGCCCTCCATACTCTCGGCCGTCCAGGGCATTTGGGGTCAAATAAACAAACAAAGGAATGAAATAGTTTGTTAAGGGGTACTCATTTCCCCTCGTACCTACATTTACTAATTTATAACTGCCTTACAAAAAGGGGCAGATTGATACAAATCCTAACTGTATAATATACATTTACTTAACAAATTTTATTGAATAATGATAGAATGTTAAAAAGATCAATCTATCTATCTACAAAGAGCTGATATGAAATAACCAGAAAATGATTAAGGTTTATCTAATAAGAATCATCGACAAAATTATAAAGCTGAATTCTTTCACAATTGTATGGAAGTAAAACTTAACATGATTATTACAATTATTGATAATTCTGATGCTAGGAAATTAAACATAATTAATTTAAGCTTCCATAAACAAACAGTCTAGCGAACAAACATTTTCTAATAATGTGTAGGGACCAGTTTGTATGTTCTAAATTATTCGCTTCTTCAGAGCCTAGTATATTGATCGTTCAATGGAATGGATTATCTATCAAGATTGAAAAACTCCTTAAATAATTTCAAACAGGTATTAAAAAGTGAATAATTAGAGGTTATCCTGTGATGTGTACTACTTATATAGACATAAGTAATGTATAGCGATAATCAGGAATAAAATGTCTGGCAGCAGAAGGTTGAGACAATTGAGGAGGAAAGAACGGGAACAGAAAGCGATTGGTATGGGAATGAAGGAATAGTGAAGTATGAGACGACTGACTGACATGTGCAAAAGGAACAGCCAAGTTTGAGATAAATGATTGATATTTTGCAAATTAAGTAGTTACCGTATGACTCTCAAATTTTAGTAAGAGATTCTGTAATTTTGTGTACATTCGATTGTCCCTACTTGTGTTCTCGTTCACTACAACCCAAGTATTGCTAGAAGTGTGTACGTGTTTGATTCTTTCCAAATGCTCATACTATGAATGTAGGTGAAAAGAGGTTGATTTTCGCGACTTAAACAACCCGAGAGCGTAATTGGAGAGCTGCTTGATGGCAGTCATACAAAACTTTTTTTGTGTGAGTTCTTTTTATATGTGTCAGCTCTTTACTTTTTAAAACTTTCCAGAAGCACAAATTAGCTTTTCGACTATTGACTTGGCTCTTTCAGTCTTATCTGTTTCCAATCAATCCGTTTAACATGAGTGAACCCTTAAAAAGAAAATGTTTCAGAAAATTTAGCTTCACTATGTTTGCAATAGTGTCGACTATTGGGTACAAATTACAGGTATAGTTATGGAAATTTTAATAGTGGAAAACTTTATTACGATGAGAAATTTGTGGGAAATTTTTAATTGGAAGGTAGTTTACATCATGGATTGACTTTATTTAGGCAACCGTTAAAAACCAAAAAGAACTGGATAGCTATTTCATCTAAATATGGATTTATTGAAAAGTGCTCACTCACAACCCATTTAAGTACTAAATCCAGGTAGTTTCATACCACATGGCTATTATATTTCCTCCAGACAATTGAGCTGAGGATCAACTGGTCTATTTATCAAACTTCAGTCAATCTGAGAGACCTGAAAATCCTCGAATCAATTCCTGGCTATTGTGAATCCCTAATACTAAACAGTCTAATACTAGGGACGAAACCACTTCCCAACGTACCTTTCTTCCTAAAGTCTGTTTAGTAGAGATCAATCCATAATGAAATATTTCCTTAAAATGTCAGTATTGATTATTTGACTGCAACGACGTCTTCACTTAAAGTCAACTATAAGGTTGTTGGAAATTTGAAAAAAAAGCAACGCATTTTCAATTCCGTTTTCACATCAATAAATGCGCTGCCAAAGTATAAATTAACATTGTCTGAATCTCTTAGATCCAGAAAAAAGCTTATGACATTCCATTTACTAGATTATTTATTCATATGTCAGTGTGGTGATACTAAATAGAGGCTGTAAATGACTGGTATTTGTTGACCCTTCACAATTCCTTGGTTGGCGTCTTAGAGATAGTGCGACACAGTGGCTTGAGACGTTATCAGACATGCATCACTCTCATTTACCAATCTCTATTCGTTTTTATTCATTTTGTATTACATACACACTTTTCTTTCATCTTCATCTGTACAATCGCATTTTTTCATTATCTGACGAATAGATATTTTGGTGCACCTTTGTACAAATATTTATATTTCAATAGTTGAGATCATGAGTCAATTGAAGCTAGACCACTATGGAAAATCTGGAAGCACTGCTTGACGGCCGTTTTGTCCTATTGTGGGACTATTCAGAAGTGCGCATCCACGATCCCACCTCGTGAGTTTCAAAACCGGGATCTATCAATGTCGCGCGTGAGTGCTTAACCTCTAGACCACTGAGCTGGCCGGCATCCAACGGTGTTAATATCTAAATTCAATCAATCCACGAAATTGAGCAACCGTCCACTACTGTCCTCGGCTCGAATCTCGCGAGGTGGAATCGTGGATGCGCACTTCTGAATAGTCCCACAATAGGACAAAACGGCCGTCAAGCAGTGCTTCCAGATTTCCCATAGTGGTCTAGCTTCAATTGACTCATGATCTCAACTATTGAAATATAAATATTTGTACAATGGTGCACCAAAATATCTATTCGTCAGATAATGAAAAAATGCGATTGTACAGATGAAGATGAAAGAAAAGTGTGTATGTAATACAAAATGAATAAAAACGAATAGAGATTGGTAAATGAGAGTGATGCATGTCCGATAACGTCTCAAGCCACTGTGTCGCACTATCTCTAAGGCGCCAACCAAGGAATTGTGAAGGGTCAACAAATACCAGTCATGTACAGCCTCTATTTAGTATCACCACACTGACATATGAATAAATAATCTAGTAAATGGAATGTCATAAGCTTTTTTCTGGATCTAAGAGATTCAGACAATGTTAATTTATACTTTGGCAGCGCATTTATTGATGTGAAAACGGAATTGAAAACGAGTTGCATTTTTTTTTCAAATTTCCAACAACCTTATAGTTGACTTTAAGTGAAGACGTCGTTGCAGTCAAATAATCAATACTGACATTTTAAGGAAATATTTCATTATGGATTGATCCCTACTAAACAGACTTTAGGAAGAAAGGTACGTTGGGAAGTGGTTTCGTCCCTAGTATTAGACTGTTTAGTATTAGGGATTCACAATAGCCAGGAATTGATTCGAAGATTTTCAGGTCTCTCAGATTGACTGAAGTTTGATAAATAGACCAGTTGATCCTCAGCTCAATTGTCTGGAGGAAATATAATAATAATATCAACTATAGAAATGACTATAATATCCACAAACCCTCTTCTGATGATATGGTAATAATTAAAACTAACTCATAAAGAAAAAAACAATTAAATTCTACATTTATTTCATCATAATACTTTCTAATCGTCAGAAGTTATTCCACTGACAGAGAATGTCCTAATTGTAAAAAAAGAGGAACACTTGTTTAATGGCAATTAAAGGTTGATTGATGTTACCCATAAACATGTCTATGTAGACATAATGCTTCGATAATAACAACAACAGTTACATAGGGATCAGAAAATTATTTTGTATTTTCAACTGTCATAATATATAACTTCTATAAAATTGTTGATATTATGAATACTACTAACACTACTATTACCATTAATAATAATAATAGTAATAATAAAGGTAATTATAATAAGAATAGTAATTAAGAGTTGAATATACCTGGTAAAGTTGATGAAGCATATATACCACCAGGCCATGTTGTCTGTGTAAAGTATTGTTTGGATCGGTAATATTGATTTCTGTACATTATAACAGATGTGCCCTTTGGTGCAAACCCATACTACAAAGAAAGGTATAGATAGTGAGTAGCACTAATAATAATAATAGTAATGGGTGGATCTTAGTCTAATATCTTGTATAGATTAATTATGACTGACAGACAAGATTGTCTGGATAAGGAATAGCCCAATAAATGAATAATACCATTCAATAATTAATAAGTATAAGTTCATATGGTCAACAATTTCGATGAATAGGATGATAGTTATAATCTAGCAGAGAAGAGTTTCAAATTTATATTTCACAATGAGTTATCTAATAACAGCGACAATTCTACTTAAGCTAAGAATGAATAACATAAAATAATGTAGTGGACGCTACTCACAAGGATGTTTTTGTAAGTAGTATGTAGCGGAACGTAGCATCAAAGTGGCAATAACTGTCACACGGAGTAAAGAGTAACAGTGCATTGAAAGCAAGGCGTTGGCAGAAAACTCGGAGACTAGATGAAAAGACAGTTCAGACGGCAGAACACATTGAAAAACGCAAATGGACGATTGGAGGCTATGTATATGTATTATTTAAATACTTTGTAACTTCTCGTAGTAAATATACATTTCTCCTGCCTATTGTCTTGCTTTACAAGATTACAGAAAAGCGTTGAATATTATGTCTTGTGAATTCTCCTAAAAGACTTTATTTCATACAAATAATATTTAAAATAAAGGTTAATTATCGAAAAATATCAGGACTTAGTAGCTAACTGGATAACGCGATGGAGTTTGAAGCCAACGGTACTAGGTTCGAGTCCCAGAATGAACATCAACTCTGAGATGCAGGTACATCCAGCTGATGAGTCACAAACAGGACGAAACCGAGTCTTGTATTCCACTGCTATCCACTATCCTTCTCTGCTTATAAAGCTTGTGACTTCAGGAAATACCGAGGCAGTCCGTACAGGATGCACATATGCCAACAAGAGACTGATCAATTGCTGTCCTAAATAACAATGGGAAGATACAAGTAAGCAACATCATGTGACATTAAGTACTTATTTTATCTAAATTCTGTGTACTTCAATAGTGTACATCGACGAAACTGAATAGGATTAGATTTGAGTAATTTGAAAATTATGATATATTCATATAACTAAGTAGGGATTCGAAGGTACACACATTCGCAGCTTCGACCAATTTATCATACAATACGTTCCTCCTTCAGTGTTAATGATGAATTACAGCCTCAACATGATTGACTCCATAGACAATGAGACCTTAGTATTTTGAGCTCAATTTCATTTTAAAAAAAACAATGGAGTGAGCCAAATAGTCCAAGAGTTTAAAACTGGATAAGAATAGCTCCCCAATATTAAGAGATGAACAATAAAAAACGGTTTGTGATTAAACTAACGAAATCACAGAATGCAACGTCACTCATAGTTAAACGTTATTTAGATAAACTGCTAGTTTACGACACAAACCCCAAAGAATACAACTAAAATAAGACAATATATAAATATATTCAGGCCTTAGAAGGGGTTTTTGTGGAGATTTGGTATGTTTCAGGTTTACTGAATAACCATTATTAGATAACTCATATAAAAGACTATCAGTGGAATCCATGGTGCGGATTTGATCTTATCTGAGACTCGTCAGCACCAGTGTTGATGTTCATAGTTATAGTTAGAAACCAATACCTTTCACTTTAAAATTTAGTACTGAATATCAAAAACAGGGTAGTATTTTTTAGGAAAACAAAACTAACCTTATGTGTATCACATGATATACTTGTGACACCAGGCAACTGAAAATCGAATCCTTCAATTGGATAACCAACTTTTTCCATAAAAGGTAAAAGGAAACCACCTAAGCAACAATCCACATGAACTGGTATATTATATCTATAACCTAACTATGGTATGAAAAAAAAGAAAATTCTGTTTAAAAAATCAGTATTGATCAGTGTATATTCAAGAAAAGAAAATGTTAGCTTAACTCTCCCCAAAACTAAATATGAACATAATAAGATGCATGAAAAAAATAACGAGCGAATGGATAAGCGCTAAGCTTCTGTAATCAATTTTGTGAACGGTTATTCGACATTTAAAAAATTTAATCGAGTAGATATCTTATCAGGTAGTTTGAATCAACCAACATGATTCATAACGACAATTTATAGTTTCATGAATGGACATCAACTATTGGTTTGAACGCCAATAGGCTTCATCTATACTATTTATGTCAGTAAGAAGTGCGGGATGGTTAGGAAAAACGTAACACATGCTTCTTATTCCCGACATAATCGATGAGAACTTACGTCAGAATAAACTTATGAATAGGAATATTCGGATTAGGTAGTAGTGTAGTGAACGAAAAACTCAGGTGGGGAAGATCAATTTATTACTTAGTGCGAAATTAGTGTGTTTTCGTAAATTATGAAAGTCATACAATAAATAAACTATTGGCACGTCTTCCTTTAGTTGTCCTTAACATACCTCATGGTTCTTTCAATTCTGTTGTTATTACAATTGCACTCTTTTACATTCATTCCTATTCTATTCAATTCGATCTTCTCAATCTTCTGCGCTCAGTCATTCTATTTCTGATTGGTTTTACATACTACTTATATATGTCAACATAGGTCGAAACTTAAAGTAAGTAAATTTTCATGTCAATAGTTCATAGTATTGAAATCCGATTAGAATGCTTTTGATTAGTAAGCTTAAGGTTATTAATAATACAATACGTATGTTGGACCAAATAATTCTATGATCATCATTATTTGTGTAAATAGTTAGATAGTGTTCAGATTCCGAATTTAAGCACCTTTAACTGTAAAACACAGTTTACAAAACAGTGGAGCAACACCAAGAGATACAATGTTATGGTAACTGATGTCTAAAGTAGATTCACATATCCTTCATTTCTTCAGAATCTAGCAGCCAATGTGCGTTAATCATTTGAAATGAGTATTTCTCAACTTTTCTTGATGAACTCTCATTAGTAACCAACCCGATACAATCAATGAACGTTCAACTTTTAAACTCTTACCTTTACAACAACAACAACAACAAAAACCCTCATGGCACATGAACACAGTAGGTACAGCTTTTTATATGAAGCTATAAACATTTGATTAAATGAATGTTTCGGAAGGAATAGAGGATTTTTTCTAGCCTTCATTAAATTCAAACAAATAATTCCATATAAGCAAAGATGGATAGTGGCTAGCAGTGGAATCAAGGACGCGCGTTTCGTCCTATTTTGGGACTCGTCAGCGATAGCGTCTAAAGCGAAAGGTACTGGGTCCGAGTCCCAGAGTAAACATCAACTTTGAGATGCAGGTACATCCAGCTGACAAGTCCCAAATAGGATGAAACGCGCGTCAAACTGGATTCCACTGCTAGCCACTATCCATCTTTGCTTATAATGCTTGTGAATACGCACAGTATGTACATATGCCAATAAGAGACTGACCAGTTGCAGTCCTAAGCATCAATGGGAAGATTCAAACAAACAATACTAAGTGAATTCAAATAATTCCATTGTTGTTCAATATTAATGGTAAAACTTTAAAGACAGTTTGCGATGTTTCAAAAAAGGATAGAAGTGATTAATGAGTTATGACTAGACTCAAATAAATTTTATGAATTAAAATATAAATGAACAAAGAAGTAACTAACTTCAGCAATTTCTTGAATAGGATCAATAATTCCATGAGGAAATCCTGGTGCTGAACCAACAAGCTAGAAAAAACATTTAGAAATACAATGACAACTTAGACATATTAATGAAATAAATAAGGATATAACTTTAAACATTTAGATTAAAAATGAGAATGCTATTGAAGTTTGAGCAACCGTTCACCAATTGTCTTCTTGTCTGACTGGTAGGTTCTGGGTTCGAATCTCGCGAGTGCAGGATCGTGGATGTGCACTGCTGAGGAGTCTCATAATAGGACGAAACGGCCGTCCAATGCTTTCAGGTTTCCATGATGGCCTAGCTTCAATTGACTCATGATTTCAACTATGAAAATAATAGAATGGTTATTCAAGTACAATAGAACAATACAAAAGAATTAAGAAATGATAAACGTACCATACATGTATCATCGGTTATTGATGATTTCATTTCAAACATATCCACTTTATACGTGATAGGATCTAATGGGATATGGATTACTTTTATAGAAAAATAATGTGCAGCCTAAATGAATGCAAGTGAAAGGCAAAAAAAGAAAATGATGAAAAAGGAACTGAGTGTGTAAAATAATTCAATGTTAAACATTTGGTATTGATTGGGAAAAAAAGTCAACCTGTTATGCTAATTGGTACTTGTTATTAAGATTTATATGTAATTTTGATAGGATTCATGATCAGTCCTAGTGGGATCGAAGAATGACTTATCCAATGTACAGTTTGAGATGTTATCATTGAGCTTTTAGGCTTCTGATCAGCTATTTTATATGACTGAGATATTAACATTGATTGATCGTTGAGTGATGGACCAAATACATGTTATTAGTGCTGATCTATTTTTACTAGTCAAACTGGTGACCCCGAAATGCCTTGGTACGGCCGAGAGTGGGGAGAGTCTGCTCTCCCTCTCGAAATACTCTCACATGGCCATGCGTAATATAACCTCTGCCACGGAAGTCCTACACACTGCCTTCTCGTGGCATTACTGTTGTTTACGAAATTGAGAGGACGAAAGCGAATGTCTGGCGCTTTAACCGAGTTAGTGGACACGGAAAGTACACCCAGGGGAGTTGGAAAACCCTGATCCCAAACCAATGGTGCACATGGGTTCCAGGATTCTGAAGGAACGAATGGCGTATGAACCAACTGTTGGTCACCGGCTACCATGGGACTGCATCTTCTCACGATGCTCCACTGCCTTGTGGATCAGATCTTTAGGTCGAAGGCTCCGGGTGTGGCCCCCTTAGAAAACCACCTGCTTCAGTTTGGGTACCTGGGCAGTGTCACAACCCTCACACAAATCAAGTGAGATTTGTGCGGAGTATATTTATCTGGTGCTTCCTTGTACTAATATTTATGTGTTTAAATAATAAATAATAATAATCAAACTGGTGACATATCACAATATTATGTTGGATAATATGTGTATGAATCTAAGTCACGTTAGCTCTAATGATAAAACATTTGAGGAAGACTAAAAATCATTTATTTTATATTCAATTATTAAACATATAGTGGATTGGTGTACATTCAGTCAGTCAGTCACAACGTAGAACTTCGTACGTACGTACATCAGTCCGAGTTGCCATACCACATTAGCACAGAGATACAGTTGTCGATTCAAATCCCATAGTGGTAGAAGTAGTAGGAGTATAATCAGAAATCCAAAAGATTAGGGTTTGAAGAAATTATTGAAGGAGTATAGTACAGTGAAATAAATTTGGAAAGAGAAAAATATAAAGACATGAGGAATTCAGAAGATTAGAATTTGGTAGAACACAAAAAGTGGATGCACCTTCGCCATTGCAAACGATTTTGAGCCATGTCATTCAAGGTCTCTAACCATCGGTTGCTGTCATCTCGCGAATCCCAACCAGGTAGTCTACACTTACCAACATGGCCCAGTCCACTTGTCAGTGACTTCATTGATTCGGGCCACGTTTTGGTCTGGCCACCCCTAGCTTTCTTCCAACCTACTCCTACACCATGAAACATTGCACGTCGGGGCAGTCGGTGGTCGGGTATACGTAACACATGTCCCAGCCATCTCAAATGATGAAGTTTCACTACTTCATCAATCGATTTGCCATCCTTACCTAGTACCCGTTTCCTAACAACTGCATTACTTACCCGGTGGTCCCAGGATATACGAGCAATGCTTCGAAGACACCTATGATCGAATACTAGTAGCCTACGAATATCCTCTACTCTTATTGGCCATGTTTCACTGCCATAAAGTAGGACAGAGCGAAGTGCTGCACAGTAAACCCGTCCTTTGGTTGCTAGACGGATATCTCGCCTACGCCATAAATGACGCAAGTTGGCGAAAGCTAGACGAGCCTTCTGTATCCGTGCTGAGATTTCGTCACATACCAGACCACAAGGGCTGATGAGACTCCCAAGATAATTGATGTACAGTCATGATAGTGAGTGGTTAATTCCAAAGAAATATTTCTTTCCTGAATATCTTAACGTTTTTAATGATTCTGTCTGTTTATACTATGTGACAAACTGTGCTAATTCGAATAGATGAACGATTTGTAGACAATTCTAATTCTGATCATAGATAGTTTGATTCACTTAGACAATCATTGAAAACTAGGGATTAACAAACAGATGCTTCTATTTGATCTCAAACTCAACAGTCATTGGAAGATTTGGATGTTTTGAAGATTCAATCCATAATGCGTTTATGGGTGCGCCCTGTTAATGAATCCCAAAATAGAGCGTACTTCAATTTAAAAAGGTGGATATGATTACTTAAAGTAAATAAACCTGTACTCAGTCAATAAGTTGCATTTATAACTAAGATGCTACTACTGTCCAAAGCTTTGAAGTTATTAGTCGTTGTTTAAATGAGATAGATGTGTGATAAGTCGTAACCTAATTGTTTTAAGTTGTTACAGTATCTTGTGAACTAAGACAAAATCTCAATACAATAAAACACTGTAAAATAAACATCAAAAGTGAACTTCGGAACAAATTTAAAGTGAGAATAAAGCTTACTTTGTCAAATGCTGGATGAGCTGTGACTGGAATTACCCTATAAAAAATTGCAAACGGAATTAAGAGTTACATTTAACAATATATAAATGTATGATAACAACTGAAGCATTTTGTGTGATCACAAAAGAAAACATGGTACCACAGTTATTGTTGAAGATGGAATTCTTGGAATCCGCTAAATAAAACAACGTGATAATCATGCAAAGTGATCAGAGAAAATCAAAGGATGGTGTAATTGTTACATTAGAACAAAGATTGAAGAAATGGTTAGGCTCAGAGTTAATTTGGGGATTGTAAATATTTTCAATCAACAATTAATAAGACACTAGATTATTATATGTAGATATTCCCTTCGTTATAGGCTTTCGGTTGAAACATTAATGACTGTTATATGATTATCCTTTCCTAATCTACTGCCAAATTTTATTTAGCCTATCCTACCGAAAGCCACTTTGGGGCTTGTTCATGTATATTGTTATTCCAAATATTATAGTTTGATGGTGTCTAGATTTCCCATCTTCTCAAAATATGATAAAGGCTGGTTGGTGACTTCTGAACTCAAGGGTAGAAGTGAGAAGAAATCTGGGGAACCATAAGCCAATAAAGACTTAGCTAGTTTAGCGTGTAGTTTGTTCAAACGCAAGATACAGAGGGATGAGGAAAAGAACAAATTAGAGCCTGGATTTTGATTGATGATTTGTCATGTGATCGTGGTCAGAGATCACAAAACAATAGTAAACTATGTCTAAATTCTATGAGGAAGAAACTTTAGTGATATACTTTGTACGTGTACGAGCCATAAGTTATCTGCAACTGCCTCTGAATGATCGGGCTAAAACTTAGAAACGCCAACTTCATTTTGATTTGTTCACTGAAGGTTCTCAGTGTAGCATAATCATATAGGGTTACGATTTAGGAGTTTTATTGTTAAGAGCTACTGTTTGGTAGTTCCAAGATGTATGAATTTTCAGACTGAATTATCGCATTGAAGCTTTTAGACGTCTACGATTTTTACATTTTTTGTGTTTTAGATTGCTAACGCAAGGTGTATTCTGATCGGTTGTTCCTAGGGTAGCTTCTGGAAGCGCCTAAGGTCGTTCGGTTGAGCTGTTTTTTGGACATAAATTTGGTAGATTATATGCACAATATTTCTAGATATTACAGATAGACATCATTAACGTAAAGCCTGGGACAGATGTATGTGGAGTCACGTTTGTACAACATTTTAATACGACGAGATAGCAATAATAAAGGAAAGCGAAATAATGCAGTAGCACTGATAGAAAGAAAGACTAAATCTTGTGAATACTGTCTGAATTGGCAGAGTGAAAGTATAAGTGTGGTGGAATACTAGAATTCAGGGTCAAGAACAAGATAAAACATGAATACATCTGGGTCATTGTGCACGATTATGATTCATATCATACAACATTTTCCTAATGAGAATAGAAATAAGCGTGCACTTTTTCTGCTGCACCATGATAGTGTGAGCACATGACACTATATTTGATAACAATCAAGCCTTTCACGTTTCATGGAAAGTTTACTAATTTTAGACTACTGAATTGTAGTTTATTTAGCTAAACTAAGAACGTGTGCTTATTATAGATTAGTATCGAAGTGATTATCTCAAAGGTCTACAACGCATCCATAATTTATGGAGTCAACAAACTCAAGAGTGATAGTATTGAATAATAACTGATCTATATGGCGAACTGACTGTAGTTGGAAACGTAAATTATTCAATTATAACTCAGTAGTTCAAATATATTACGTTTATCCTGAAATCCGGAGGTAGTAGGTTTGACCACTTACAATATAGTGGGTACGTAATCCTGAGTCCGATTCTAGAATGAACTGTTCATTTGATTTTGAACAATTTACCAGCCAATCTCAGTCTGTGATGGAAACGACCTCTAAATGGAAAAAAAGTATCCGCAAACCACCTAACTAGAAATGTAAAACTTCATGTAAATGTCCTGTTATCATCAATCGTATACACCATATTGACCCAAAAATACTTCATTCTGATTGGTTGTAGATGTTACTGATTCAATCTTATGTTAGTCTTGTATTTACAAATCGCTTCTAAATACGATACTTCATCGAATAGATTAAAACACATTAAATAGTTAAACATGAATGGATGAATAGGATTATGGAAAAAGAATAGAAGGTTTACTATGTATTTAGATGATTCTATTAAGTGATTAACTTAGGTATATAATTTGGAACAATACATATTAACCAATGTGATTATGAATCGACTCGTATAAAGTACGCAAGTGATAAAGGAAAATAATTTTAAAAAAAAAACGATTGAAATCACCATCAAAATGTACAAAACAATAAACTAGATAACCATATAGGCTTGTTAAGTGATTAAAAGTAAACAATAAAAAGCCCAATCTATTCTATGCTTCATAATAGTTGGCGTTTGTCAATAGAAATATAATCTTGAAACAACCTATTCTTGCAGAGAGATCTGAACTTGAATTACTCAATATCACAGTTACACGTGGTAGAGGAATGAACTATTCAGACTGCAGCCAACATTCTGTTAAATTGAGTTGGCATCCGTGTGGTGGCTCAACATCGTTCATGATAGTGTTCGGTGAGTTTAATCCTTGCCTTTCCTTAGATTCTAAGTTCCTAATGAGTTACTTGGAACATATGCCACCGATGTCTTAAAACAAATTACCTCAATGGTCAACAACAGTATAAAAACGAAGGTGAAAAATGTTATCCAAAGTGAAGATAAAGAGGGCATTTTATACGGAAGCATACAGAGGCAGGTTAGTGATTGGGGCACTTGATTTTCAACCACTGAGATCGTAGGTCTGGATCCTCACTCCATCTACTTTAGTTAAGGAATTCATGTACTATTACTAGTCATCAAATACGAACAATATGGCTTAAAGATAAGTACATAAACGCGTGATAGGTAATTGAGTTACACAATTAATATACGGAAGCTTACATAGTTGGATGCTTGATACCATGTTCACGTGCAAGCTGACGATAAGCCAAACATGCAAGAAGAATGCTTTCTGTCCCTCCTGATGTAGTCTAATGGGTAAGAAGAAACAATAAATTTAGAAATAATACTGTGAATACTGACTGACTGAAGCTAGATAATGACACTGTTGGGTGATGGCTCAGTAAGTCAGAGATTGAGCGTTTGCGCAAAAGGCCTCGAGTTTGTGTCCTGTTATGCCAGGTAGGTCTGTTGAAGAACAGTAAAACAAAAAGCGGTAAATCCAAGGTTTAAGGGTGAAGTCATACTGCTGACTGTTCAGAGGTGTGACAGCAGTAGGCTGTTTCTCTCAGACAACCAGCATAACAGCGATGCTGCCATCCCACAAACGAAGGGCGAGGTTAGAAAATGTCGCCCTAAAAATGTACAACTCGCCTTACCCCTTAGTGTAAATACTTTTTGTCCAATAAATGTTCCTTGAACCCATATCAAACTTCTCACTTGGATTGAGTACGTTGATATGCATGATTATCTCGTCTCAACTAAGAACCTTTCTTAATGTATGCATTTAAGCCTCATACTGATTATTTTTTATATTACGGTTGAAGAAATCTTTTTCTGACACTTGGGATGTGGACGTTTCACTGTCCCCCATGTAAATGATCTTGACATCTGTATGTGTGATAAATTGTTCCTATTTAAACCACCATGTTGATCATTGTCGAGTACGCATATAATTTGTTTGACCTAGGGAATTAAAAAATGAAATCACGAAGTATACACTATACTAGTACGTTAGGCTTTGCTAGAAATCTACTGTTTCACTCGTTAATACTGCACAAGAATCAAAGATTTGGTGTTAATTTTGGAGAACAGTAGACAAATCGGTACTAGCTTTTGGGAAAAGTAGATATTTTGAGAAAGGTAAAAGTGGTGATTTCGACACATTTCCCTTGAATGGGGAAATTTTGGGGAAAAATACGTACTATTTATCCCGGGTTAGGGGAAAAGGAGACATTTTTAATTCACTGTTGCCTATATTCACACCGACTTCGTTTTAAGACTTTTCCCAAAGATCTCATTTATTTCTTCTTTATTGTTTGCCTGGGATAAATTTACTTGTGAACTTTATTCTAGTCGCTGACCAATATAGTTGGATATAGTACCTAGCAAAATGAAAACATAAAGATAATCCCAGATGGTGAGTGTATTATTTTTTCGGAGACGTAATGAAGCGAAAGTCAGACTACTTGTATGATTATGTCGATCTGGATGTCGCAGAAATGCAAGTTGGGTATATTCGGGTAAAACAATCCAAAATTAGACTGTAAGAAAATCCCAACTTTCCAAATGCCAAGTAGTTCTTTTATCTCCACAAATTTAAACTTGTTTGAACTTATAGAATTGTGCAAATTCAGCCCAAATAAAGTCATTAATATCAACTAGTGCTTTGACGCCTAATAACAGTGCGATTCGGCGTCCGCAAGCTTAGTTTGAAATTATCTTCAGTCTTGTCGATATCCAAAAATAAATATGAGCATGACGAAACTGTCAGCTGACGTTGTCGAATAGTCAGCCAATATGGGACATATGCTTTAGTTAAAAACACCTACGTTAGATCATAAGTCAAAAGAACTTTGAGGAGGACTAGCTAGCTTATAATACCTTTCGTGGAAATTCGCTCCGCTCAGGTCACTAAGACCACCTCTAACCCAATTTCTTTTTCAGGTACCTCCGGAAGAACCCTTAAACAGTGTGAGAAACCGAGAAGTGAAAACCATCCTCATACTTCTAACAGCACTCAAAACCACTGTATTCATAGTCGATTTACCTCTTCGATTTCTATTATCCTTCCTATTTGGACTATCAACTCTAAACGTCCTCCTCAAGTGTCACCGTGGCTAACGAGTCTAGTGCGAGAAATACTGTCTCAAGTCTACTGAAACCTGTCTCCAACCTATACGTTGAAGCCTTCAACGTACGTACCCTATGTCAAATCGACCAACAGGCTTCCTTGGCTAAGACGCATATAGGACTCTAGTGTGATCATCCACGTGACCTCGCCTGGCCAAAACGAGGAGCCGACGAGATACACCCTCCGTTTATCTGGCTTTGCACTCAGGACAAAGTCAAAGAGGAATTTTACAGAAAGCTTTCTGAACTTCTTCAAAAAGCTAAACACCCATACATAGTACTCGTAGCAGTTGACTACTTTAATACCGAAGCATGTAGCTTAAACCAAAGAGAAAAACATTTAGGTGGGTATTTTAGTATTCCGGCTCAGTGAACAGATAATGATGACCGTCCGCTCAAACTGTGCTCAGACAATGGCTTATATCTAACAAGCAATAATTTTAAGCATAGAAAGAGACATTGTCTAACATATTGGACCTCTGTACCAAACTGACGTTGGACTCAAATAGACCATACTGACATCAGTCATCGTTGGAAGGGTTTGATAAATTTCTGCTCATTCTCGAATACATATTTAGACCCTTATTATGTCATAATACGAGCATATATTTGCTTGCGCCTCACTGGACTCAGAAAAGCCACATTAAGAAAACCGGTTATAATTGAACTCATTGATGATAAAACCAAAAGTAAATACCAGGAACAGCTGAAGTCACACTTAAGCAATTTTGAAAACGAGGACGACCCAGATATTGCCTAGGAAGATATAAGAACAGCTGTAGAAATAGTTATGGCACTTATTGATGATTTGAACCAAACGGTCACGGAAAACCAGTGAATTTCTGTGACATCTATTGCATTGATAGAGTCTTGTAAACTAATGGTGGATGACAAAACCAAAAGAGATGGCGAAGACAACGGCTGTAGGGTAGTACAAGATAACTCAGACTTATAAGAAAAACCTGAATAAATACGTCAAATGTGAGACGATGTCGGAAAAAAACTACACTCTTATCTACTCTCAGCCCAGATATTTAGAACGATGGGTGGGACACTTTAGGGAACAGTTGAGCTGGCCTTCAGCTACTCTACAACTACCCACCATTCCCAAACAGTCTGAATGGAACATTGAAGTAGACCTCACGACTCTAATTGAAGTTCAAAAAGCTATAGCTAATCTGAAACGAGGAAACTACGAGATAACCAGGCTGACTTTAGATCTGGTTGTCACTGTATCGATCACATATTGACTATTTATCAGGTTTTAGAACACAGGCATACTTATCAGCGTCCGATAATGATAGTTTTTCTTGACCTAAAAGTAGCATTTGACTCTGTAGACCGAGAGGTTCTGTGGAAGTGTCTGTCATTGAAAGGTGTACCTCAGAACTATATAAACCTTGTGAATTCTTTCTTTCTGTATCATATCCTCACATGAAATCTTTTCACTACCATTAAAGTAACTACTTATATGAATTCGTTGTTTATCTTGTTGTACTAATGAAGCATGGCAACTTGGAGCGATGCATATACGCGCCTAGTCCTACGTTGTAGCTGACTGACTGATATTAAGACAATCGAACGAATAAACAGATTTTGCGTCTAGTACAGAATACATACCAAAGCCTTCATGGATAAAACATTCACGTCAGGTAATCTTCTTATCACAAAACTTTGTCCATGTTGACATCGAAAGACATTTTTATTTTAACTCCTAAACATCTTATTAATACCTTTAAAGTATATAATAAAAATAACAATAATTTACAGTTTATTTGAATTAGTCCTATGACGTAATGAACATCAGAACTTTTATGAGTTTCTGGTATTATTTGTCTATGAGGTTGTATGTACATAGATCCTAAAGAGGAAACAAATGTGAAGTAGAGCCTTTAAATGCTGCTCTAGTATGGCCGAAGTTGAGGAGAGTCAGCTCTCCCTCTCGAAATGCTCTCACATGGCCCCCCACTGTCAAGGAAGTCCTACTCGCATCCTTCTTGTGGTGATCTTTTATTTTATTTTATTTAAACGCATAAATATTGGTACAAGGAAGCACCAGATAAATGTGCGCCTCACAAATCTCATTTGATTTGTGTGAGGGCTGTGATACTTCCCAGGTGCCCAGACTGAAACAGGTGGTTTTCTTAGGGGGCCACACTCGGAGCCTTTAACCTAAAGGTCTAGTCCACAAGGCAGTGGAGCATCGTGAGGAGATGCAGTCCCATGGTAGCCGGTGACCAACAGTTGGTTCATACGCCATTCGTTCCTTCAGGATCCTGGAGCCCATGTGCACCATTGGTTTGGAATCAGGGTTTTCCAACTCCCCTAGGTGGACCCTCCGTGTCCACCAACCCGGTTAAAGCGCCAGACATTCGCTTTTCGTCCTCTCAATTTCGTAAACAACACCCCCGCCACGAGTAGGCAGTTAGTAGGACTTCCCTGGCAGAGGCTATATATTCGCGTGGCCATATGAGAGCATTTCGAGAGGGAGAGCAGACTCTTCCTACTCTCGGTCGTACCAGGGCATTTGGGGGCTTGTGGTGAGATTGTTTACGAAATTGAAAGGACGAAAAGTGAATGTCCGGAGCTTAAACCGAGTGATGGATATAGAGGATCCACATAGAGGAGTTGTAAAACCTTGATTACAAAATATAGGTCCACATGGGCTCCACGATCTTGAAAGTAAAAATGGCGTGAAAAACTTATTATTGGTCACTGGCTACCATAGGACTGCATTTCCCAAAACGTTGTTCTACTGCTTTGTGGGTTAGACCTTTAGGTCGAAGGCTCGGAAAGCGTCCCCCTAAGAAAACCATCTGATTTGGTTCGGGCGCTCGAACAGTATTTTAGCCCACACGAAAATCGAATGAAAAAGTGTGGTGGATATCCATTTGGTGTCTCCTTGTATCGATGCTTGTGTTTAAAAAAATAGCGTATCTGATCAAATGAAACAATTTACTCTTATATACTAAACAATCTCAACTTTTTATAAGGTATCACACTACAGAAATATACGTATTGCTGTACTTCGACGAATATTTGAGCATGACAATATTTACCCTTAAAAGTCATATGGCTGTTACAACATGTGGAAATGAAGTCTTGTTGGTCTGTGGTTTTTTCATCTGTAGTCGATTATTTTTTAATTAACTAGCAAACCATATTCATGCTATGTTGGGTGAACGTTTTGTGTATAAATAGTATCTTTGATTTCATAATATATATTCGCATATATTCAACCAAGTCGTTAGTCGTTCTGTCTTTTGAAGTATACTCGGTTATGATGTGACGCTCATTTAGGACGAATAAACTATATCAGTAATCACATTTTAGCCATATCTAATCAAAAGTTAAGCCAATTAAACAGTCATAAAAATCACACTGGTACGTTTTAATGCACACACACTCCTATGGTTTGAAAATAACTTAAACTTACAGTACCGCATGCATCTTTATCTCCATGGAACATTGTAACACACATGCGTACAACCTCAGCTTCCATTCGTCGAATATCAACAAAAAGCTCCGGATGCAATGGATTTGTCCAGAGGAATTCCTTGTAGATCTGAACACGGAATAGATAATAGCGAGCATATAAAAATTGGTATCATTGATCATCGTCATCATCAGCATACGCAAAGTGAAACCTGACACGTTTATGCATCGGTTTAAGCTGGCATAGTACACTAAGGTAACGTTATTTTAAGACAAATTTCACAGTAGTAGAAGGAGTAACAATATCGGTTGTAGTAAGAGATTACGTACAGAAAATAAAAAAGTGTAGGGAAATTTCGGGATATTGTCAAGCTGGAGGTTAAAACATAATGAAAACAGATTTGTTTAGGGAAACATCAAGGACCTAAAACTTCAAAGTCTGATAAATTTGGCACTCTTCATTTAAGTAAAAAACTGAAAACAAGACAGTTGGTTTGCGATTGGTGGAGCTTACTTAAATCTGATGATAATTTTTACGGTTTGAATTATAAAGTTGGTTTTTTTTCCGTTAGTGAGAGTATAAACAAATTGTTATCACTGACTCAAAGCCGAAAAGTCCTAGTATACTGAAAAAATATTAAGATGTAAAAAACAATTTAACTTCTATACTTTAAATACAAGAACTTATTTTCAAATCATAATTTGTTTAAATAAACAATTGGAAGATTCCCAACCATGATAATTACCTGTGATTTATTTTTTATTTAAACACATATATATTGGTACAAAAGGGCATCAGTGATAATTTTGTCCTTAAAGGCGATAACAGATAGGCGTGAATATTGTTTTACAAAATAGTAAACATTCAATGGCGTAAAGTGTTGAGAAGAGAAGTAGATAAGTCTAGACATAAATTGAAGATTGACTTGTAGTTGGAAGTGACACTACTTGTCTTCGAGTTTTTGAGTAAATCCATATCGTAGTCCCATATTTCAATAAACTAAAGGCTAGTTGAAACCATTTTTGTCAATCATGCTTGACGAAGTGGAAATATAATTACCTATAAAATCCTTAGTTTGGTACGGTTATATTACGTAGTTTATATAGATCATACAAAGGAATTGGGTTGAGTTCCCGAAAGAGGAAATGATTTTTATAAATGATGCTCTTAATCTATTTTCCAACTACGGCTAAATGCAAGGTTAAGACAATGTAAGTGGTTGTTAGTGATTTATATTATTTCCACACGAATGATTGGGAAGTATACTATTAATTATCAAGATATTCTTCACTATTTGTAATCAAAAAACATAACTACACATGGAAATAAGAGTGTTCTTTCGAATGCTTATGTGACTTTTATCAAGATATGACAAATAAAGCTGAAAGCTTGGGTACTCAATAAAGTTAAAAATAGACAAAAAGTCTTAGTCAGTGTATAATCAGTGACAACTTACACTCGTGCACAAAACTGTAAGATCATCATTTCTTGGGTAAACGCTTCCAGAAACAAACCCTTCGCTCCACTTTATATACTCTACAAAACATTCTACAACTGCAAATTATAAACAAACCCAATGTTTTATACTTCCGAGCACTTGAGAGTACATTTTCCTAAAAAATCCAAATAACGACAGTACGGATTACCACAGTTTGGCCGCAGACAGGAAGGTTCTTTTCAAATACAATATGCGAGGTTTTTTTATGAAACTCTCTATGTATTTCTTTTGAAGCTTCATCTATCTTCTTGTTGATGTAGGATCTTATAAAGGGGGTCTTTCTCAGACCAATAAAGAAGGAAGATGCAAGCTTGCCATCAAAAATTTCTTAACAATAATCGTTGTTACCATCACTTACCGAAACTTGACAAAATGAGCATGAATGTTATAAATGATACTACTAAAGCAGAGAAATCCCAGTCACGCAAGAGGTCTATATATAGGTTTAACCCAAATTTTACTGCCGAAACTACATCTAAGAGCTGAAAATTAGAAAGACGATGACAAACAGTGCACTTACTAAACTATCCATTCAGCCGAACCCTGACCTTGAAACTGAATATAGCGCGGTTTCCGCGTTGATGAGAATGTTAAACATTGCACAATATGAACAAATAAAGCAATAAAAGTGTTTTGACCTGTGAATATTGAATTTTCTTGTGACAATTTTGCTTTTTGAAGTTTCCAGTCAATTCATGATGACCATCAGCTACATTTTTATAGAACTAATTATTAATTTTTCGGAAATAAAATTCATGTAGTCCATAGCATTTTCCAGTCTTTTTCTTTCCTCCTCTTTAAGTATCGTATATGTTCCCAAAATAGCTATTTCAATGTTTTTATTTTACTTTTCTCGGTCTTCACTTTGCAAGAGATTTGTGCTTTGAGGGATACACTGTTGAAGATGTTATAGGTATTGTTTTTTAACAACATCCGAACACCAACATCTTCTTAAACTTAATGGTGTTTACACGGTGAAACCAAAAGTCAGAAGCTAAGATGTTCGAAAATATATTTGTTAGGCTATTGAAGATGCAACGGATGTTCTAGTTTTACAACTAGCTACCAGTAGCACCTCCTATATTTGATCGTTCTCAGTCAGATAGAAAATCAGAAGTCAAACGAGAAGAGGCAGGAAAGATATATTTGATTCGTTACCAATATATCGAGGACCTTTTCTACGAGCTGGCTAATGAAACGTAGGAGCTGTGTCCCACGCAGTATTGAAACGTGATCTGGTGCGGATGCATGACCGAAAGCCTTCAGCTAAACAAGTCCACTTAAACAACGTGGTCAGCATCCAATGTCGAACACTTAATGAGCTATTGATTTTGGGGAATTATTTACAGCTACAGATCACTCCCCCCTAGTGAGGTAGTGATGCCCCTAAGACGTGACCAGCCAGAAGTTTAAACTCAACGAATTTGTCGTTGGTAAACACTCTTCTGATAGCTTGCTTCGTTTAGCAGCGTCTGGTCGTCTTTCCTTAAACTATGGGACCAAAATGTACAACGTAGCAAATAAAGAAATATAGTACAATGAAAATTTCTGTTCCTTGCGAAACTTCGTCGTTCTTTTCCAGCCGTCCTGGAAAAGAGGAAAAATAAAACGTGTGAGTGCATGTCAAAAATACACTCGTACTTGCGTAAGGACACAAGATGAGCGGAAAAAATAAACTGATACACTTACAAACAGCGTAAAAGCGATCGGAAAAAAGGTTTTCTTTTGGTTTTTTTTTAATATATAAATATATATATATATACGTTCAAAAAAATGTTTTTTTTTGTTTGTTTTTTTTACATAAATAAAAAATGAGCATATTAAAAAAAATTTATAATAAACTTTGAAAGGGTAATTCCAGATAAAGCTTATGTCCTACGTGCAATATTCGTTAAGATGTTCTGGAAATCTTACTCGTCTTCCAGAACGCGTTGTTTTAGGTTTTTCTATCGACGTTGACGAAGTATCAAGTTGTGTGTCGGTTGTCGTGTAGGGTACTACGAGTGTAGTAGCTGTGTCGTTTGCTTGTACCGAAGGAAAATCGACGTAGCTAGGGTTTCCTTCTAGGTACGCAGCTTTGAGTCGATCGATACTGATGCTATCTTTCGTACCGTTCTTATCAACTACATAGTACTTAGGTTCGCGTTGAAGAACTTTGAAGGGTCCTTCGTATGCTGATTCGAGGGGTCGTCGATGTGAGTCTCGACGAACGAAGACGTGTGTACTATGTCGTAATTCGGGTTGAACGAAAACATCAGTTGATTGAGGTCGAGTGTGAGCAGGTTTAACTGAACGCATAGCGTTTGTAAGCCTACTCGTGTAAGAGTTTAGATCCATGTTCAATGAAGAAGCTGAAGGATCCACGAATTCTCCTGGGAGTCGGAGTGTCGTTCCGTAAACGAGTTGAGATGCCGTGTATCCAATGTCAGCTTTCACTGCATTGCGGATACCTAGCAAGACGAGTGGAAGAGCGTCTGTCCACTGTGAAACGTTTGAAGCTGATAATGAGGCTTTTAGTTGTCGATGAAAACGTTCTACCAACCCGTTTGCTTGTGGGTGGTAGGCGGTCGTTCGGAAGCGCGTGATTCCCAAAAGTGTGGTCAGACAACGGAAAAGTCCAGATTCGAACTGGCGTCCGCGGTCTGTAGTGATGGTTGAAGGGCAGCCGAAATTTGCTACCCATCGTTCGACGAAAGTGCGAGCCACTGTTTCAGCAGTAATGTCCTTAATCGGTACTGCTTCTGGCCATCGAGTAAAACGGTCTACGCATGTTAGGAGATATGAGTATCCGTTCGAGTCGGGTAAGGGTCCTACTAAATCTAGATGGACGTGGTCGAAACGAGCGTCAGGGGTTTTGAAAGAACCTAAGGGACATTTGTTGTGTCTGATTACCTTAGATTTCTGACAGCTTACACAGGAGCGTGCCCACTCCCTCACGTCTTTATTCATGCCAGGCCAACAAAAGCGTTCGGCTATAAGTTCGATTGTTGCACGAGCACCTGGATGAGAAAGATTGTGCAACGTATGGAAGACGTTGTGGCGATAGTGTTTTGGTACAATTGGACGATCCCTAACTGTAGATCTGTCACAGAGTAAGGTTTCCTTACCTGTTCCCATCTTCCTAATACTTAGTTTAAGAGTTGTCGAGGATAACTCATGCTGAAGATCAATGTCTTGTTTTTGAAGCTGAGCGAGTTTAAGAAGGTCGATTCCTTGGAAACTGTTCAAGGAGCTAATTCGAGACAAGGCGTCTGCGACTACATTGTTTGCTCCAGAAATATGTTGTATGTCTGAAGTAAACTGCGAAATGTAGTCGAGTTGTCGAGACTCTCGCGGTGAGTACTTGTCTGAAGATGAACCTAAAGAGAAGGTAAGAGGTTTGTGATCGGTAAAGAGCGTGAATTCTCTTCCTTCAATGGAATGTTGAAAATGCCGTACAGCACAATACATAGCTAGGAGTTCCCTACCGAACGTGCTGTACCTAGATTCAGCGTCTAGCAACCGTCTCGAGAAAGATCCTAAAGGTTGCCACGAGTTGTTAACCCATTGTTGTAAGACTGCTCCGATTGCTGAGTCGGATGCGTCTACGGCGATACTAATGGGCGCTTGACTGTCCTGATGAGCAAGCAAGGTTGCTTTAGCGATGTGTTCCTTAACTGTGGAAAATGCTTTACGGGCTGTGTCGTCTAAACTAATTGATTTCGCATTTCCACGAAGCTGATCGGTCAACGGTTTCATTAGGGATGCGCATTTAGGTATGAACCGTCTATAGAAACTTACGAGTCCGTTAAAAGTTCGTAACTGCTTGATCGTGGTCGGTTCTGGGTAATCCAGAATGGCCGCCACTTTGCTCCTAAGGGGTCGGATGCCTTGGGCATCAATGGTGTGTCCTAAGAAGTCTAAGCAGTTAGTTCCGATTTGGCATTTCTGAATGTTGACAGTAATGCCATGCCTTTGAAGTCGATCGAAAACAATGTCCAGATGCTTGAGATGCGATTCTCTGTCCGGACTTGCTATTAGACAGTCATCAACATACGCATGTACGAAGTTGAGACCTCGGAAGACGTCGTCTATAAACCTTTGGAAGGTTTGAGCCGCATTTCTTAAACCAAAAGGCATTCGTAGAAATTCGTAAAGACCGAAGGGAGTGATGATGGCGGTTTTACGAATGTCGTCAGGTGCCATCGGAATTTGGTTATAAGCTTTAACCAAGTCGATTTTCGAAAAGACAGTTGTACCTTTCAAGGTAGCTGTCAAATCGTGAATATGAGGCAGCGGGTAACGATCGGGAATGGTTTTAGCATTCAGACGCCGATAATCACCAGTTGGCCGCCAATCATTGCTGTCCTTTTTAGGGACCATGTGCAATGGGGATGCCCATGGACTATTCGATGGTCGAATTATTCCTAGGTCCATCATGTGGTTGAATTCGTTTTTAGCTAACCTAAGTTTTTCGGGAGCGAGTCTTCGGGCTTTCGAAAATACAGGTGGTCCTGTAGTCGAGATGTGATGTGTAACATTGCTGGTTACACAAGGTAATTTCGATTGCGATTGGTATATCCCGGGGTATTTGTCGAGTACTGCTTGGTACAAGGGGTCTATGGCGTGCTTAATCGTGACTGGGGATAACCTGCAACCAGAACAAGGAGTTACGCAAACGGACAACTTAGTGTTTCCGTCTATTAACCTTCGTGCGCGTGTGTCGATGAGTAGATCGTGGTGTTGTAACAGGTCAATACCAATGATTGGCATAGAGACATCTGCAACCACGAAAATCCAGTGTATGGGTTTACGTAAACCCACGTTAAGGTAGACGTACCTTTTACCGTAAGTAGCGATCGGCTTTCCGTTTGCCGCCTGTAAACTTAAAACAGACTCGCGAAGTCTGTCGTCGAGATTTGCTGGAAGAACGCTAACTTCTGCGCCAGTGTCGACGAGGTAGCGAACTTTCGTAGTCACATCCGTGACATATAAGAGGCGGCTGTGTTCGCCGGCTACGGTTGCCGTTAACGCGTGCCGGCTGGGAAGTTTCCCGAACTGTTTTTCGTGTCACTCGATTTTGGGGTCGGATAATTGCAAGGTTTCCTGCAGTTTCTGAAAAACTTACCGTACTGGTTATGATACCAGCACCAGTCGGGATTGTCTGTCTCTGGTGGTCGAGAGCCAGATCGCTTACGTGAGGTGCTTCTACGCGGGGTTTTTGACCGACTACGGTCATTGCGAACTCTAAGATATCGTGTAAGCGTGTGACATAGTTCGGCCATGTCAGTCGAGGTCGATTAGGGTTTTTCTTTGACGGAAAAAACCTCGGCCTTAGAAGATCTAGTGATTTCCAAGATTCGATCGGCAGATGCAGCTAGTTCATCTATGGCATTGTTTTGAAATGAAACAAGCACTGCCTGCACCTGTTGAGGGAGTTTAGACAAGAAAAGTTGTCTAAATAGGCCATCATCGAAAGTTCGTTGGCCGATGACTTCTCTCATTCTAAGCAACATGTCCGTCGCAGAACCATGTTGCAAGTCGATATTGTTAAGGAGTTGGTCTAACCGTTGTCGATCAGTTAGGTCTCCTCGTTTTAAAATCGATAG